CCCCCCCCCCCCCTCCCCATTTAACCCATATTAAGAAAGACAATTGCATTGTCTGTACAAACAGCTCTATATTAACCGCCATAGAAATTTGGTAAGTAATTTAAACAAGGCATGAAATGCGTTTCGTCTGATGACCCTTTCTCCCTCCCCTGCCTGATGACTCTACCCCCACCTCGTTGAAATACGAAAATTATTTTACCAAATCACCCGGGATTAGAAAGATAATCTTTTAAATTAAGCTACAGTATAGGTATCTTGTATGAGGTAAATGACTCTAGGATCCAAGCAAACCAAATGTTTTAAATTGTGTTTAATTAACTGCCCTAAAGGGTCCCAAATTCCCCCTAATTGGTTCATGTAAATCTGCACAGTATTCACTCTCATGCTGTTGTGTTTTACTTTTATCACAACAATATTCAAGTCTTGTTTCCATTCTATAACAACCATTAATTTAGTGGGCCAGTAGTATTTTTTTGTTTATTAGTTAGAGAAACAACTACTATTTTGTTTGATTTAAAATGTGATGCGGTTGATTTATAGCAGATTATACAAAATCTATTATTTTTATTTGCAGGCCTACTATAGGCCTTGTATGTAAAACTTGTTTCACCAAATTTGGCCCCGGTAGTTAGCATGAACTGCAATATGCTGCTGAAACTGTCAGGGCAAGACCAGCCTCGTACCCAGGCGCAAATAACGTACTAAAAATAGCAATACTACAGTGTTTTATAAAAAACAGTGGCTAAAATGAGCGAGCGCGCGGGGGTGCTAGGTCAAGTCAGTGAACTCAAAAGACCTGGAACGATAACTCGGCCGCCATTGCACGTCAGGCCTCGAAAATACACCCCATTTCCGCCGGATGTTTTCTCATACTTCAAAGTTTATACAATCAAACAAAAACAAAGTTTAAGAAGCTTCAATCTCACCTGCTCTTTTATAAAAAAACATTTTCGAGGATACAAATCAACTTTAAGCATCTTTTTTAAGGAGTTAAATGTTGAAGTTTTGTTCGGCGCGTTTAAACTTGTGCAATATTTACAATATGAAACTGACACCTCAGAAGTTTCCCCCATAAATAGACGTAAAACACTAAAAACTATCCGTGTATATGTTTTAAAGCTTTAGATTTAATGCTAAATTAAATCTAATAATCTATTAATGCTAAATTAGATTTAATCTAACGAAAAATATCATTTTTCTACCTATTTTTGGGAAAAAGCCGAGTCTGAAGTGAATTTTACTAGACCCAGTCCTTTTTCTGGAAATTCAGAATGTCAACAAATGCGAAATATTTGCGAAAATATATGAAAAACACGTTAAAAAATTGGGGGTTTTTACTTGGTCCTGAGATATAAACATGCCTTTTGCTTGTGTACTTTTGTGCTGTAACAGCAAGCAAAAACCAGTTAAAAAGAAGACAAAAAACACAACCAACACTGGAAAAAAGACTGCATTTCACAGGTGAGGCATTCAGGATATTTGAAAATAACAACACATTTAATCTTATCACACTGTAAAAATAAACACACTGTAAATACACATATAAAATATTAAATAAATACTTAAGTCACATAATTTGAGAATAAATTGTCACATGTTTGTGCACTTAAGCAATTGTATTTAATTAAATTTTAATATAAACATCACTGTTTACAGCTGCTACACTATGGTATGTACAGTACAAGGCTATACAGTACAAGGCTATAAAGTACTAAGGCCAACTACTAATTAATTTTAAAGTAGAGGTAATTTTAAAGTAGCATCAGCTAAGGATCTAATTAAATACAAATATAAAGTAAGCATAATAATTATGTACATACATATACACATACACTCACACATTGCAATTTACACTGCATTTATTTAGATTCCCTCTAAATAACCCAAAAGTTCTTGGAAAGTGGGAGAAAGCAGTCTGCGAAGTTAATAACTTCCCTGATTGGAAAGCAACACGATATACATACATCTGCAGCAAGCACTTCCCACAATCCGATTACATTATTCCTCCTTCTGAAAATGAAAGCTGCAGGTTGAAATCCACAGCCGTACCTACTATATTCAATTCATCAAGTAACCCAGTCTATGGCATCCCTAAAAAATTAAGAAAAAAGATAGAATATCCATGTAATCGAGAGGTGTTGACAACCGTATCATCTCTTGATATTGTCAATCATGACCATACCTACTGCCAAAAAGCCAACACCATAGAAGATTTGGAAGAAGGCCAAGATAGGAAAACCCTAGAGGATAAACTAAAAAGAAAAAGAAAAGGCTTGCAGCAACAATTAAGGCGAACTAAAGCCAGAAAACAGACCATGGGAGATATTATACAAGAGCTACAACAAAAGCTTCTTATCTGTCAAGATGATGCAGAACTACTTTCGGCAAAATTTGATGGGGTGCAACTTGCCAGTTTCAGAGACACAAAAAATAATGTTAGCTGTGATCCTTGTGGGAGGAGATATGTAGACGTTGTCAAAGAATTTGCAACAACATTAAATTACTACTCACCAAACGCATACGAATATGTAAGGTCAATAATTCCATTACCACATCCATCACTTATTAGAAAGTGGTCAAGTGTTGTTGAGTGCAATCCAGGATTCTTTAAAGAGTCATTTGAATCCCTAAAAAAGGAAGCATTGCTCAGTCCTGAAAAGAAAGACTGTTGTCTCATAATTGATGGGATGGCAATTAGGAAGCAAACTCTATGGGACTCTAAAAATGATAAGTATGTGGGGTTTGTAGACTATGGACATATACCTACCAGTAAACCAGATCAATATGCATCAGAAGCACTAGTATTTGTTCTTGTTGGGGCCAGAAGTAATTGGAAATGTCCTATTGGATATTTTCTCACTGACAAAATGACTGGAAAAATGCAAGCCAAGTTGGTTCAGGAAGCACTCATTATGGCAGCTGAAGCTGGATTACGTGTCTATTCTGTAACAGCAGATGGTACTTCTGTCAATTTCACCATGTTCAGTGAACTTGGCTGCAAGTTTACAACATCATATGAAAGCATGATTACCAAGTTTAAACACCCTACTCAAAACTACTTCGTATATGCAATTTTGGACCCATGTCACATGCTTAAATTGGCAAGGAATGCTTTGGGTCACTTAGGCTCTATCGTTGACTGTGAAAACAATATTATTACATGGAAATTATTTTCATCACTCAATAAAATCCAAGAATGTGAAGGTTTCCAATTAGCAAACAAGTTTTCATCAAGACATCTCCAGTTTTTGAAGCACAAAATGAATGTCCAACTAGCAGCTCAAACCCTTAGCTCATCTGTAGCAGATGCTATTGAATTTTTAGATAAATCAATGAAACTTAAAGAATTTCAAAACTCAATCGGCACTGTTAAATTTATCAGAATAGTGGATAGATTATTTGACATTCTAAACTCTCGAAACCCAATTGCAAAAGGATTTAAACAACCACTGCGTCCTCAATCGAGAAATACATGGGAAGAAATCCTGAAGCATTCTGCTGAGTATTTGCTCAGTTTAAGAACACATGACAGTACCAACCAATTGTTGGTCACACATCAAAGAAAAACATTCATTACTGGCTTTGTCACAACTATTAAATCGACAATTGATATGACAACAGCAATGTTCAGTGGTGAAAATGCTTTCAAATATCTGCTTACTTACAGGTTCTCACAGGATCATATTGAACTCTTATTTTCATGTATAAGAGCACAGGGTGGCTGGAACAATAATCCGAACTGCTTACAACTGAAGTATGCAATGAGGAAAATGCTGTTGAGGAACACAATCACAGCCTCAAAAAATGCCAACTGCCTGACATTTTCTGATTCCACAACAACAATTATCCCATTCTTTCACTCCCAGAAACACAAAGCACCTTTAAAAGAAACTCCAACAGATAACCTGGACGAACCTGAAAGCAGTCCTGAAGAAGACCTACTCTGCAGTCACTTAAATTCACCCGGTACATCTGAATTTCTGTCCAACATTTTGTTTTACATCAGTGGTTACATTGTTGTCAAACTGGTCAAAAAACTATCGTGTGAATCATGCAAGCGATGTCTACTTTCTCACTTCAACTCTGAAACTTCAGACCATGATTACTGTGCTATGAATTATAATCAAATCGCACCTGCATCAGCATTCACATTATTTGTGAACAATGGTGGCCTAAAAATACCGTCACAGTCTGTTTATAACATTATTGAATTTGCTGAAAAATTATTTAAAGTAAATGTTTGCAAAGATGGCTATAGTGTTTCTGTTTGAGTTATTTTGTATTATATTATGACCATAGTTGATATTAAGGGACCGATATGGATTTAGAGGATATAGGGGACAAAAGGGGGTAGAGAAAGAAACCTCGTGGAAAAAGGACGCTTGTGTATAGAATAGATTTTGGTGTGTGTATTTTAGACTAAATAGGAAAATAGAATATTATAATGGCCTCAAAATTTCAAGAGAAAACAAGTTAAAGCAGAAGCTGGTTCTGAGTGTGTGCAACCATTTTGTAATGGATTCAACCCACCAAATTTTTCAAGATCACGATCAGGGATCGCAAGACAATTCACTTGAAGAAAATCACCGGTCATCCCTTATCAAATTAACGGCAGAAAGATACTTTACCTTGAGACTCTTCACTTACGGCAAACGCTACAACGACAAGGTGGTTAATGGACAGCCAAGCGTCAGGCACCAGCTAACAAAGATGATCCTGTTTAAAAATCAATAAAGTCAAACGTGAATCGTTTTATTATCAGTTGTATAATTCATAAATATTTGTAATTTCAATTAAAGTATTACCTTTTTGTCCAAAACCTTGAATGTTGGATAACGATAAATATATTCCAAAATATATTTCAAAGCACGTTATATTTTACTTCTGTTCCTATCGTCTTCATTTTGCCATCAACACACAATCCAAACAGCTTGTATTTATCTTGGCTTTCGGCTTTAGTTTTGCTTCACATTTTGCAAGGTAAGTAGGTTTTATGCAAGTAAAGTTTAACGAAAAAATACTTTGCAAAACCGCCATAACAACCACGCCGTTGACAAATCGAATGTGCTCGCATCCTTCGTCGCGCGGTCGCGAAGCTTTATTTATATGCCTGATCGCAGGTTACTGGAAAACACAAATTTTTCACGTTTTACAGCGGCTAACGGATAGATTAAAAGTTCAAAATCGACTTCATTATATGGGCTTCAGTACTAAACAAGTTTTAATCTCGCAGAAATATTCTAAAGTATTTTTTTCGTAGTTGAAAGGCGAAGTTTTCATAGGCACGTTCAAATATTTCTCATTTTTCACAATACAAAAATGTTTACTCCTCAAAGTTTTGCTTCAAGTAAGTGCAAGCAAGTTAGAACTATCCAAAAAAACAGGTTTGGATATTTTAACTTGAAGTCTTTCGATGAAAAAAGGATTTTTTTTTTGCTAATTTTCGCTCAAACAACGTTTTGACTGAATTTCGCACTCCTCGTAACTCACCCTAGTCTTTTTGAAAGTGCATTTTTGCCGCGCGGTTCCCGCTTTTTGAGCTTCAAATTGGCTTCAACCAATCATAGCACTTGAACATAGGAGTTATCGTTCCAGGTCTTTTGAGTTCACTGGGTCAAGTACGTTATTTGCGCCTGGGTACGAGGCTGGGCCAAGACGCTGTGTACATACGCTCAAATGTAAAACTTGCTTGGTAGTGACAGTGATCATCTGACAATGATGATCATTTCTTGAAGCCATCCATAGCTGCAGCTGTTCCGAGGTTTCGTTACGAAATGCTGTAAAATGCGAATAATATATAGCCCTGCGAAGTTTGCTGTTTTTCAGTCATTTTGCATTACGCACGGGAAATTCATACCTTTTTTCAGAAAGCGGTATCAATTTCCGTGCGTAATACAAAATGACTGAAAAACGGCAAACTTCGCAGGGCTATATTATCCGCATTTTACAACATTTCGCAACAGAACTTCGGAATATTACTAAGTTTATGATGCTCTTTCAAGTTGTGATCAAATATTAGTTTTTTAGTACAGTACATTTTTTAAATTTGGCAGATATATAAATTATTAAGCAAAATTTCAGTTTGACAAATATTTATATTTGAAAGGAAATATTGACCGCTTTGGCACTCCATACATGTTGGTGACTTAAATTTGCACCCGACATTATGCAATAATTTATCTGTCACTGCTTCTGCAGCTAACGACCGAAATAACAAGTTCTTGTTACCTAATCCATTATATCACACATAAAATTAACAACCGAGTTCACAACATTGCTAGTAAGATTGTTATTCATCGAGAATGTGTGAGATATTCGTTCTTAATGAATAATATCATAGTTAACTCGGTTTCTTTTGTTTCAACAGGGACGTTTAATCACGTATTTCCCTCATTACCCATGCATGCATACGCTTTTATCTTCTAAATTTCCCTGGGAAATTTAGTTGAAAACAAAGGATTTCTTTGTCTTCTAATTTTCCCCTGCATGCTTGATGAGGGAAATTTAGTTGAAAACAAAGGATTTCTTTGTCTTCTAATTTTCCCCTGCATGCTTGATGAGGGAAATTTAGAAGACAAAAGCGTACCTCATTACCTCTGATTGGAGAGCTGTACCTCATCGAAAATCATCGGCACAACTATGGACAGTATCTGACGACACCGTCCCGTACACATTCGAACAATCACTTTGCCAGCTTTTATTCCCTAATCTTGAACATTTCAATTGTGGGAGAAAATTACGTTTATGCGCATGCCTAAAACGCCAATGAACGCGGAGATGTGTTTTTGCGCGTGCGTATATATGAAAAGTGTTCGTACCACAATCATAAGACAATCAAACAGCATTCAAAACAGGCAACACACCACGCGCGATTCCCTCGTTAACTATGATATTACAAAGTAATAGCATGGCATTACGATCGATTAGTGATGAAATGTCCCTCAAGCCTCGAGAGGTTTACTAAAAGTCCCTCGGCGCTTACTAAACCTCTCTCGGCTTTCGGGTACATTTAATCACTAATCGCCCTGAATGCCATGCTATTACTTATAATAACATGAATGCTGTAGCTAGACTTTTTATTTACTCTTTTATTTTTAAATTTTTTTAATAGCCTTTATATTCTTTTTCTTTTCATCCCTTTATATTCTTTTTGTTCTTTATATTAATATTCTTTCACATATTTTTTTTGTTCCTCTTATATTCTTTCACACGTTGAAGGCTACAGGTCTGACAGCAGAAAGCTTGTAAATAAAAATATCTAGCCAGAGAAGGTTGGTCAAACATCTTCCGCCATATACATATTTGTTCTTGGTCACTAAGTTTTATTTTGTTTCTACCAAGGTTGCTTAAAGTGTGTCAAAAGTTACTTAGATTTATTTATGCCTCTACTGCACATGTCCAAATATCTATGAAAACAAACACATATATATGTCTAAATAGAGAATTGAGCCAACAAAATCTTGATATTTACCCATAACCTACACATGGCAGTACTTGTGGTTAGAGCTCGGCAACAAGCCTCTATATAGCTCAGTCGGTTAGAGCGCTGCAGGGCCACAGGTTCGATTCTTGCCAGAGGCCTAAAGTTGCATTTTCATGGCTGTTCCTGGTTAGGTCTAATAATGTATATAAATTTCCACTCAATAATTTCCATCTACAACATCGGTGACATCAACTATTATTCAATCGAGTGATGATACCACATGGCAGTACCGCATATTACCCTAATATATATATATATATATATATATATATATATATATATATATATATATATATATATATATATATATATATATATATATATAACATATATATATATATATATATATATATATATATATATATATATATATATATATATATATATATATATATATATGGATA